TCGAGTACCTTGTTCTTGTCCAAGTGGTCGATAAATTTACACAACCCGCGCGAGATATCTCCGAAGTCCAGGTAACGGTGGAGGCGCGCGCGCGCGCGCGCACGTGCGCTCATGTGCGCACACGGTTTTCCCATCGATGATAGCGATCGCAGAAACACGTCTCCGTAGAATCGAATATTCGTCGTGTAAAATAGATACGAATTCGCGCTCGCGGAGATTCAATAAAATGAAAGAGCGAATCGGGCGCCGCGCCGGCATCGATATCCGCCGGTCAGAGGCCGCGAAAATAGCTTCCGCCTCTGATCGCTTTGAACATTTTGCGGCCGCCGCAAAACGGATAATATTATTCCACAGCCGTATCTATTTGCAAATAAAATTAGATGCGTTATGCGGTTCGCGCGTGTGTCCTCGCTTCGCGTTTCCCTCCGCGTCCCCCTCCGCTTCTTAATTGACTTACGGCACGATGTGTGCGCCGTAACATTGCCCGCGACCATAATGATCATCCTCCTGGCATGGCAGCTTGTTAACTCGTTTGCGCGGAAGTCTGCGACGTACTCGGGCATCGAGATGGAGTGGAAATTTTGCTGCGTTGCTGATTTCAACACAGCGATTGCTTTCTCCGTGATCGCAGAAATTCGATCGGTTCGAAACGATTTATTTCATAAGTCAAACATATTCGTTTCTCTTTCGAGTCTCTCGTAATTCGCCGATCGCAATTTAATATACACGCTCGATGGATCTGATGGATGTGAACGAAAAGATTCTCCGTTTTATTCCAACTAATAATTCTCAACTGTCGCCGATACGATGGAAAATCTGTTAACACGATCTACGTGATATTAAAAATTCATTTAAACACTTAGTGAATTTGTGAAACATGGTTGCTGTCTTAAAGCCTAAACCATGCAACAGGGTTGCCTTTTACATAGGATAATTTTCTGCGATATTTAAAAGAAAAAAAAAACATGAGCCGAATTGAAATATTCGTTTTTTTTAATCGGTCGTAATATTAAGCGTTTGCACTCGAAGCCATATTAACTCTAAATCGATAGTAGTTTTCCTGACCTACAGTATTTCCATTTGATATAATTCCATTCCGTTAATTATTACACTCGATTTAACACGTTAAGGGTCGAGAATCAGCCCCAAAATTCCCACAATATCAAAGTCATTGAATTAATGAAACCGGAACTAAATAGTTGAAATTTACCATAATAATTGTTGCTTCAACACTTTCGTATTCTAAAAATCCTAGTAACATTCAGTTTATTCAACATATTGCAATAAAAATGAATTTCAAAATCTAGTTAAAAGTTAGTGTCACCTATGTATGACCGGACACGGCACACAACGCGTTAAATGTATTTTACGCATATGAAATTGAATCTGCTGACCCGTCAACAGTCACACCTTTAACAGTTTTTTAACGATAAACAAGTTTGATAATATAAAAATTAATTTGAAACGTGATCAAACAATTTTTAATGGTGCCTCAAAGTCGCCACTCGGCTGCAAAAGGTTAATAGTTAACAATTCAAACCGACTGCTAGGAGTTTGCAAACACGGGTGAAAATTGATAATTATCGTACCGCTGGCGCAGTCAAATCATCGCCGTGAATTTTACTTTAGGTCTGACATAGCGATGCGTCACGAGGACAAATCGGTTCCATCCGGATCGTAATTCCCTAGCAGCTAACTTAATTTATATTGAGTCCCGCAACAGGATTAGGTTTGATCACAGAGAGTTAGATTGAAAAACATATACAAGAACATCGATGCATAAATTATGTTAAGCTAGAAGAAGAGTGGATTGAAAAATATTGTGAAACACGAATGATCCATAAACGTTTGAACAAATCTCGCCACGGCGACTACGAAGTTGTTAAAATCGTCAGTTAAAACGTATGATTCGACACGACTTTCTTGGATCGCCACTAACAATTAGAGCGTCGATTATGGTTCGCTCCGATTTCAACGGAATTTGGCAGGCCGACACATCTATACCTACAATAATCGTAAGAATTGCGTGTAAAGTTTGTAAAAATTGTTGCGAGCGCATACATTCGAATAGCAGCAGGTACGCTTAATTTTGCTCATAATTGTCTGCCCATATACAGCTAAATTTTGAGCTGGTTATAGGTATGGATGCATCAGCCTGCTTGCAAATTTCGTTGACGAAAGCTAAAAACAATCTCATCGATCGAACCATTTCCTCAAAACACGCCAGCAAAATTATAAATTTCTATGATCGGCAGTTCGACAACTTCTCGAGCATACCGTTCGCGCGTCGTTGCGCTGGAAACCACTTGTAAGAGTCGTGGAAGAGATCGAGGGAATTTCGAGTAAATTGGAGTGGTGGGAGTGCGGCAGGCTCGAGCGATCGATTCGAGAGGATCGCGAGGGTGAATCGTGGGATCCGGTCGATTGTTATTTTCGCGCGGGAACGTCTCGAATTCGTCTCGAAGTTGTCGGGCCAATGGTCGGTTCGGGTTACTAGACGAAAACAACGACGGGAAAAGGGGGAAGACAAAGTTGCGCGCGGTGCGACATTCGGAATAGGGGGTTGGGGCTCGTGGCTTAGCTGGAGGACGGCGCGGCGGGGGCGGTTCTTCGAGAGCGGGCTTCGTCCCCCCCTTTGTTCTCGAAGAGATTCCTTCTGCAGGATGTCGCGTGCAACTTTTCCAATATCCATCAGGAAAATACAATACAGGACGCGTGTACACGCGAGCATCGGATCGGCGGGACGCACGGAGCGTCTGCAGGATGCTTCATTAACGGTAACATATTGCTTCCGGGCCGATCCGGCCATCCCCGGACTCGAAGTTTCGTGTTCCGCGAATTGGAGTAATTTATTCTTACGCGCGGATAACTCGCAAAGAAATATTGGCTGATCCAGAACAGTTCGTATTCCGAGCCCCCCGCCGCCGGCCCTCCGCTCCCTTGGCCAAAGCGACCCGCAGCGCCCCGTGATTAATTATGTCAACGCCAACGTCTGAATTTACTTGATTATCGCGGCCGATCAATCGGACAATACGCGCGCAGCCGCCGAAAACAAAGGGCCGGAATCTGGTCAAGCGCTTTAAATATTAATGCCGATTCGATCGCGAGTCTTAGCGCATCTAGCGCTTCTGCTAATTCGCTGGAGACAAAACTGCGACTGCATTCGCGAAATCCTTTTGCGATATCGATCTCGCCCTTGTTGCTCCGAATAGGCCGCCGAATTACTCGCTGTACAGCAAAATTAAGCCGCGATTCTCTCCAAAGCGATTTTAATTACCGATTTTCCTGCTAACGTTGTTCGTTCGTTGTAGCTAAGAAAATAATTGTTGTAAATGTTATCTACACATTTTACTTAGTTATTCCGTGTTCAAATTCAATTGAATTTATTTATATATGCGGATAAAAAAGAAACATTTTTTACGATGCAGAACTAGGAACTAGTATTGATATGATGCAGAATCTGCGAATCGGCGGTTTAGGTGAGCAATTTATGTAAACTTGGTTTGAATTACGTGTTCTATTTGTCGTTACTGTCGTTAACAATTTGAAGTGTCCCGTAAAAAGGATCGGTCGCTCTAAATCTCGACGAGTAGAATGAGAATTTCCTGAGAGTGTTTCCATGATATTGTTTCGACAAAATTAGAGAGATTCCAGTCGACGAAATTTTGGATCAATTCTAGAATAATTTTCTTTTTTAATTGCAATTGTATCGAGATTATTTATCGACGACTAGATTAAAGGAATAGGAATTCGTCGATTTCGTCAGCGAATTGTCCCGGATTTGCCGAAAGTAGTGCGACCGATGGTGGATCGTCTTAGCAAGGGGGATCGCATGCACGCGATTCGAGAACCGGTGGCACGTACAGGAAAGGCCGATTAAATGCCAAATAAATATCGCTGGTCCCGCGTTTAATGGTTTTTACGCCTTTCGGTGATATTCGTCCGGCGATCCATGTGTTGGAAATGGCGTATCCTCGCCGGGAATACGCGGTATGAATATTTAGAGACGCTCTGCCTTCGACTACACAGCGTTCACGCCATTCCACCACTTGGGAACCTGTGTCGGCGAACTTTCGACTATCGTTATTCCTACTTGCATCAGGATATTAAAATTGTACGCGACATTCGAAATTAGTGACTGAACTGCGGTTCCCCGTGCATGAAAAACATGTGCCCAAAATACATCGACGAAACTGAATACATTAGACTTTTAATAGGGGACTTCACATGGTCCTCAATGTTTACATGTTATTTATGGAACAATCTGAGAGTTTTATCTTTGCCAGATAAAACAACTACATAATTAGCTTTCAGTCTACACATGTGATTCTTTCTTTTTTCTTTTTTATTTGAAGCAGTCAAATCTCTAAGAGATTTATTTGCTTTTCTGTATACATTTTTAGGAAAAGACTGAGTTAGTTACGTATTTACATATTATATATAACTTAATAATCATTGTAAGTAATAAACATTAAGATTACACCTTTCCAGAAAAGGCGAGATAAGTGAGAACATATCTGATATGATCTGAAATTATTACAAATAACATATGTTCACTATTTCGGTAGTGTTTGGACAGTCTTAACAAACATCTTTTAACTTCAATAAAAATTACAACTTTTATACTTGAACTAAAAATAAAAATGAAAATTAAGTTCTCGATTAAGCGAAAGAACAATAATAATCGCTGTCACAATTAATGCGCAAATCGTAGTTAGTGTTTCATGTCGCGAGCATTTATTTCATCGTAAAATTCAGGTAATTATGTTCTTTGATCGGAATACAATTTTATTATAAAAGTAAATTATAATATGAGTTTATTATACAATTTAATTTTATAATAACATCTTATTCCGAATGAATGTTATTCCGTTCCCTTAAATCGGAATAAAATCATGATCTCTTGTCATCGATATTCAAGTATTCAAGTAAATATAGCCACACAATGAATATTAATTTTCTCTTTTTTTCGAAGATATTCGTACAGTCGAAAAACTTACCAATCATCGTGATTCTGCGGATAAGGGCACGCCAAGAGGTTAATAACGCGTTTCCCTTCACAAGTAATGTCGGCATACATACGTCGTAGCTACCAAAATAGCATTTCGCTAAAGCTGTTATCTTCGTTGGAGAAATCGCAATTTCCAGGGTAATTTTTCCTCTTCCGTAAATATTTCTCGTTTCCCGTTGATATTTCTCTTCGATCGGCGCAGGCTACCGTGTTCCGCTCGCTTAATTTCGGCCGAAGGTTTACACTTTCCCCGGAGATTCTATGAGCGGATGGAAGAAGGGCAAAACGACGCGACGGGTCAGACATGGCAACGCTGGCTGGAGAGAAAAAGGCAGACCGAGGCGACGCGGCGCGGCGTCCCATAGAATCCTCGTAATTCTCATCTCGAGCGGCCGTGTGTTCCGATCCACTTGATCGGATCGTTTCTCACGGGAAACGGGGACAAAGACGAACAGCGCAAAACATCCGCGAGAGAGCAACCGGAGGGAGACGCGCGATCCTCTACCGTGAAATGCACGCCGCGCCGGCAACGCCGCGTACTACGTGCTACGTACTAACAACTCTCCGTGAGCCAATGCTTCTCCCGCTCGTATAATAACAAATTTATGGAAATTCGCTGCGGCAGAGCATCAACCGAACTACCAGACCGACGAATAATTAATTTTGATCGAACCCGAAAGCAAAACACCGCCGGCCAGTACAATATCGGTCAAGTCATGATAGAGTCTAATATTTAGCAGTAATTCTGATTCGCGAGCGATCATTTTTCTCCGCCAACGAAATTCCAGAACGTCGAAAATTCTGGACCGAACCGATTTTATTTCTAGTCTTGTACTGTCTGCTCACAATTTCGAGAACACGAAAATAGATTTGTTGGTTGAAGAACTTTACTCGACATAAGGTAGAAATTGTTATGTTCAGTTAGTTATATCTTTGCATTTCGCTGTTTGAAATGTATGAACTACTACAAACATGTCGATTGCTGAACCATAACTTCAAAGGATCCCATAAAGCCAGAGTAGTTTAGTCAATGGAATTGAGATTGACTAAACTATTACTTTTCTCATTCTTTCGGATCCTATAAATTCTAATGACATTCGGATTATTTATATATACATAGGTACCAGTACTATACGCTGCACTGTGCTAGAATCTTATGGCAGCTCAATAATTTTCTCTCAAAACAGCGAACCCAAATGGGATTACTAAATTATACGATTTAGACTGGTTTTATGGGAAACAGGCGATGGAAATAGCATGATGCTAATGAATCTCTTTTAAACGTTCTCTTGATACGACTTGAATCAAACTTGCTCGTTTGATCCTTAATTTACTCTACTCTCTCCAATAGTAATGGCCATAATGAACAACACTACGAGCTACAACAAACTCAACGATAAACGCATCGTCGCTCGCATCGAAAAACGTGAAGCGCAGCTTCAGTGTTCGTGTGCTGTTCAAAAGATCTAATTTTTTAGAATTTTGTTATATATTCTAATGAATAATAATCCCTCTGTGAATTCCTAAAAATCATCGTTGTATACTTGCTATTAAAATCTTATTGTCGATTTCGTAAATATTAAATATTAAATATTAAAATGTTTTAAAAAGATATTAATACCTCTCCCGCACATGTATCAATAACGTGGCATAACTCGTTTTGGTCTACGAACCACAGTATCGCTACTAAAAAAATCCAAGCATATTCAATTGTGGATCCCTGACTACTAAAATACTCTTGTCCTGTGACCAACGCGAAGCGAAAATTCTCGGCAGCATTATGAGACGCCTTCCAACGACGCTAGAAAATTGCTCCGAAAATGTTGTCGGCAGGAAGCTGTCTGATTAGGCAAGGAACGAGTTGCAGCAATTAATTCCGTAGCACAGAGGTGTCCTGAAATTTCAGACGACGAAAACACCGCGGTCACTATGACGCCGCGTCATTCCTGCAGCGCATGGCTGTTGCTTCGCTTTGTAATCGTATCCGATCGTCGACGCTCGATTAATCATGCCGGTGTTTATGCAGTTACGTGAACAAGCCTCTCCGCCAATTAAAAATAATTAGACGTCGCGTGCCGGCCGCCCGTTTGCCGTTCATTGTCGTCCATTGTCGTCAATTGCCGTCCGTTTGTGCTCGTGGCCGACCGACGTTAGGTGTTAGTCGTTTAGTATTGGGTGTTATTGCTCACCCCGGCCTAAACTCAGCCGGCGTTAACGCGTCATTCGTCCGATACCCCAGTCGAAGAAGACGGCGAGCTTAACGACCGTAAGTGGCTGGTCGGCTCTCTTTTATGGACGGTTTTATGGCCGGAACAAGAACGACGCTTGCGAGGCTTCTACCACGTTCGCCAGGCGAGCGGAACAGATTTGCATCGGCTATTGGCAAAGTTGAGCGAAACATGTTAGAGATCGAACCAGCTCCGCGACGTTGTTCCAAGTGAAATGTGTGGGCCAACGTGAACCCCTCTCCCTTACACAGAGTCTTCGAACTTGCGATTCGCGACTTCCGGAACGACGAAACCGAGACGCACGAGCGATTTAACCCTCTGCAGTGCACGCGTCTCGATAATGTAGCCTTTGGTGACCCGCGCATTTTTCTCTCGGCGACTTTTCTGCATTTCGTACGATTTCACGGCTCTCCGATTAGCAGTGTGTCTTGTGATCCATTTTGTAGACAATTGTATATGTTATTGCTCGTTGATGCTCCTTGTGAGCTTCGAGCTTTGTAGAAGTTTGCACATGGTGTGCCGTCCGAATAATATGGTTTTTTCTGTGTCTTGTGAGTCCCTTATGGTCTCGTGTCCAGTGAGTCCCTTGTGGTCTCGTGTCCAGTGAGTCCCTTGTGGTCTCGCGTGTAGTGAGTCCCTTGTGGTCTCGTGTGTAGTGAGTCCCTTGTGGTCTCGTGTGTAGTGAATCCCTTGTGGTCTCGTGTCCAGTGAGTCCCTTGTGGTCTCGTGTG